GGCCCCCAAAAGACCAATTTTTGTTCCTGTTGATTTTTTTTTGTTTGTTTGTTTCAAAAATTATTTTACTTTTTGGTCTCTTCTTTATAAGTGGTTTCCTTATGCTTGCTTTAGGTTTTATTTGCTACTTTGGAAGATTTTAAGGATTGTAAGCTTTTTTTTTAAGGCTTATAAGTTACTGATTTGAGAATTTTTTTTTTTTTTTTTTGTATTTTAGGGAGGGGTCTATAGGGTATTCAAGGTCTCACTGCTAGATCAGACTCCTAGTGATCCGCCTGTTTACAGCCTCCCAAGAGCTGGGATTACAGGCGCGCCACCACGCCCAGTCTCAATTGCCATCTCTAGGTGCCTGGGAGCGGGGCGGCAGGCAGGGCATGGCAGGGATGGAACCCCGGGCTCCTGCACCTGCTTGCAGGCGCTTTAATCCGCTGAACTCTTTGGCCGGTCTTGTTTTAATTTCTTTGATGGAGGTGTTCATGCTTATGTATTTCTAGGTATATGTATTTACATTGCTTCAATGTTAGTTTACTTCTAGCAATAGTAAAAAGGAATGCTTTGGGGAACTCCGCAAGAAACGTTGAAATGTTAACAAGTGGAAATTGGGTGGGAATTTCTTTCAGAGTTTTTGTTACAAACATTGAAGATCAAAACTTTATAGTGAGTTCAAAAATTCCTAAGACTTTCTTTATAAGGAATACTTCAAGTATCATTTTTTAATATTTAAAAATTGTCTATTAGTACAATTTATTATTTTTTCAGGTTTTTTTTTTTTTTTTTTTTTTTTTTTTTTTTTTTTGTGTGTGTGTGTGTATATGTAGGATCTCGCTACACAGATTGGACTCATAGTGATCCTCCTGTTTTTAACCTTCCCAGCTCTGGTATTGTAAGTATGCACCACCACGCTGTGACTTGATCTCAGGTTTAGCGTTCCTGGGGGCAGGACACGTGTAGCATGTGGTGCCAGGGATTGAACCCCTGCCCTGCTCTTGTGTAAGTAGGGTCTTACTCCACTGAGCAATCTCACTAGTCTTTATTAGTACAACTTAGATATACATAATGGTCACATTCATCATAGGGAACCTCTACATAATATGTCTTAGTTCCTCTTTTAAAAAAGAATTTAGAACTGGGTGTGGTGCTACAGGCAGGTAATCCCAGCACTTAGGAAGCTGAGGCAGGAGGATTGCTGAGAGTTTGAGGCTAACCTGGGTTACATAGTAAGTTGAAAGCTAGTCAGAACTACACAGTGAGACCTTTTATTTAAAAAGAAATCTGTAAAGAATTTATAATCATGGCAAGAACGCAGGTCATAATTAGTGTGCTGGCAGACCAATTAAATTGTCTGATTATGAACTACTTGCTAAAGCTTATTGGAATAAGGAAAATAAAAACTCAATATATAGGTCAATATTGAAATATGCTCTTTCTCAGGAACTGGTAACATTTTTGTATGATCTGATATTTAAACAAAAAATTAGAAGTATTTTATTTCTTGGTCAAAAAGTCATAATTGTACAATATTTTGATACTAGATTTCAGTTTTTTATGTAAATTGAGATATTTGTTCAACTCTATTCTAAACTTTTTGTTTTAGGCCAACATTTATATTACACAGGCTATTTTCTGGCTAACATGCAGTTGAGAATTCACTAGACTTCCTGCGTTCTTCAATTCTTGGGAACATAGAAATTTATAATGGGTTTAGCTAATCTCTCTGTCATCTCAAACTTTACTGGGGGGAGTAAATTTTTTTCCTTCTTGAGCTCTGTTTTCTACCATGTTCATTATTTTCACACCCTTTTCAAGAATAATGTATATAAGCAACAGTGGAGACCATGATACTTTAGAATACTAACATTTAAAACATTTTGTTACTTTGCTGAACAAGTTTCTGTATTCTATCCTTAGTTAAAAGAGTCAACTTTGAGATTTATTCTGTTGTTCTTTCTTGAGTAAAGGGGAATTATCTCATATTTGTCAGACTGCATTGACTCTTGTGTTACATAAGATTTTACAAGTTTTACTTCTTTCTTTCCTTGAAACATTTATTAGAGCTTCTGTTTTGTACTAGGCAGTGTGCTGACCAAGACATGACGTATGTCTAGAGCTTACAGTCTGGAGAAGACAGGCACTGAAGACAGGAGCCACAAGTGAATTTATAGTTTCAAACTGTTTTGAGAGGAGTGAACACTGTGGAGATTAGTCCTGTCAGGAAAAGGGACACCTCTTTAATTGCAATGGAAAAAAGGGTAGCACAATGCACATGGAGGCAAATGCGTGTGCTCCTGGTAGTAGTAGATGTCTTAATGTTCTAAGCAGCTGTTTGTTTCTTTTATTGTGTTTTTACAACATTGTTCAGTCATTAAAAGTGATTTGTACTTATTTGTATGTTTAACACCTTTAGAGTTTGTATCTAATTTTATTTGTTTTATTTTTGATACTAGGGATCAAACTCAGGACCTTGCATTTGCCAGGCAGACACTTATGCCACTGAGCTATCTCCCTGGCCCCATATCTAATTTTAACGTGTAATAAGTTATTATTTATGTATAATTCCCTTATATTCTTTAATCAGTGTTTGAAAGTCTTTGTGTGTGTGTGTGTGTTTTTTTTTTTTTTTTCTTTTACTGACAAAGTTTCACTATGCAGTTCAGGCTGGCTTTGAACTCACTTTGTATCCCAGGCTGGCCTGAAAGTTACAGAGATCCTCCTGCCTCAGTCTCCTGAGTGTTGGGAGACGTGTGCCACCACATTCAACTGCAAGTCTTAGTTGACATGAACTTAAATTATTTTGTTACTCTAATTATACTTACTATATTACAACAATTAACTTTCAAGTCTATGATATATGGACATTTCACGTATATAAAATATTAATCCTTTTTTTACCTCACATATATGGTAATCACATGAAAAAGGCCTAGTGCAGTTCTTTCTTCCTGAGAGGGGAGGAGATCTAGGGACTCGCTGTTTTGACAAAGGTTAGGTACAGCTCAAAAATAGTAAGCTATACATTGGAAATTCGTATGTAAATTGACCTGTGAACATTCACAAGGAATGAACATATTGTATGGACTCTTATAAGTACTATTATAATATAAGTAATAAATTGGGTTTTTAAAATGTTTAAGGTGGGCTGGATGCACACGTATAATACCAACCCTTGGGAGGCAGAGGCAAGAGTATTGCTGGAAGTTTGAGGCTAACCTGGGCTACAAAGTGAGTTCAAGGCCAACCTGAACTGCATAGTGAAAACTTGACCTCCTTCCCCCTCAACAAAAAAAGAAGTTTAAGGTGAATATAATTGAGTACTTGAGCCATTTAGTTATACGCATAAGAAGTTTTACTTTTTTTTACTTTGTTAAGTAGATTTTTATAAAAAGGTCATTGGCATTTCTTTGTTTACTTCGTTTTATTTATTTTTGAGAGGGGCCTGCCCCTTAGCTCAGTTGTTTAAGTGGCTCCTTCAACAAAGCAGTCAGCCTCAGGTTGCTGTGGTTCGATCCCCACAACTCCAGCCAGCCAAACATGCCCTGAAGGCATTCTGGGCCAGCCCCCCCCCCCAAAAAAAAAATACTTATTTTTGAGACAGGGTCTCCTTATGTAATCCATATTGGCCTCAAAGTTGTGATTGTCCTTCTGCCTCACCCTCTTGATTGCTGGAATTATAGGCATGTGCCACCATGCCTGACCTGACTGATTTGCTTACTTGTTTACACTGAGAATTGAATCCAAGGCCTTTTATGTCTCTATATGCTAGCCCAAAACTCTACCACTCAACTGTACCCTTCTAGCTCATTTTGTTGATTTTTGATTCATTTGCTTTTATTTTTTTCTTCTGTGATGCTTACTCAGTTATAGTTTAATTACCTTAAAAAGCTTGTTGGGGCTAGGGAGATGGCTCAGTGGAATAAGTGCTTCCCTGGCAAGCGCAAGGGCCTGAGTTCAATCCCTGTGTTCTGCCAAAAGAAAAAAAAGCTTGTTGAAGATTGTATATTGGAAAAGCTGAATTATTTGTGAGATTTCTACTTACTAAAGCAGTGTAGTCTCCCATATAGAATTACAGTGATAGCTGAGTACATAGTTGATAAAGTTTTTTTTTTTTTTGGAAAAAAAATATGTATTTAGAATTAGCCAGCTGGACTCAGCTTAGATGATCCCAGTTTTGTTGGCAACATCTAATGCGTCATAATTGGGAGCCAGTTGAACATATGCCTTCTTTTCTCCATCAGGCCTGATTAGGGTATTGACCTTGGCAACATTGATGTCCTAGAGCTTCTTTACAGCTTGTTTGAGTTGGTTCTTACTGGCTTTGACCTCCACAATGAACACGAGTGTGTTGCCCTTGGTCTTTTTCCTGGCTGACTCTGTAGTCAGGGGGAACTTAATGATGGTATAGTGGTCAAGCTTGTTTCTCCTGGGGGAACGAGTATTTGGGCTGTCTTCGGAGCCAGGATGGCAGAAGGTGGGTGACGTTCGTATTGTCTTTTTGTGGCTGTGGATGCCTTTCAGCAGGGCCTTCCTGGCCTTCAAAGCTTTTGCTTTGGCTTCAGCTTTGGGATGGACAGGGGTTTCTTTCTTCGCCTTTGGTGCTGTGTTGGTAAAAAAGCCATGGTTGATAAGTTGTAATAAAACTGTCAATTGAAAAATATTTTAAGTGTTAAATATTTAAAAATATTTTTGGGGGCTGGAGAGATGGCTCAGTAGAATAAGCGCTTCCCTGGCAAGTGCTTGAGTTCAATTCCCGTTTCCGGAAAAAAAAAAAAAAAAAAAAAGAAAGAAATTTCTTATTTTTTCTTTATTTCAAAGGAAATAATACTCATAATAACCCAGTTTAATGATATAGAAGTTGCTGTCTTTTTCAACTTTTCAGAAATAGAAATTATACTCTGTGCATTTAATGCCTTTGGCTTAGGGGCTGGAGTTAATTAAGAAATAGAAATGGGGTAGTAATAGATTGTAAGTTGTTTATCTGCAGCTCTTTTTTTTTTTTTAAACAGGTATCTGCTCTGGGCCTAGATCCTTCAGGTGCCCGTTTGGTGACCGGAGGATATGACTATGATGTTAAGTTTTGGGATTTTGCTGGAATGGATGCATCTTTTAAGGCTTTTCGATCCCTTCAGCCCTGTGAGTGGTATGTACTCACTTAATATCTTTGTATTTGACTTATCTCGATATTTAAAGATGATATTAACTTCCTGTTTGAGACAGTACTGTTATTAGTTGAATTCCACCATGATTCGTATCAATATTTAGCATCATTAACCTATTTTTTAAAGCCATTTTCTATCTTGTATTTTAAAAAAATGTTTATTTGGAAACTGTTTCTTGCTTCATTTACTTTAAAACACCCTGTGATGTGTCTTATTATGTTCTTATGTTTGACATATGGTAAGCCAGTATGCAAGTAGTGACCCTGCTACACTGTCCAAATACGGTACTTTATCAGCTAGCTAGGAATTGACATGTGGCTACTATTAGTCATGCCCACATTCTCTATATTTGACTATGTCTGATCTAGCATATCGATCCCTTAGAGTATCATTTAATTTGTTTATCTCTTTTCTAGTGTGGTCTAGCAAAGGTTAAAGGGTTGATCATGCTGCATGTTGTTTCACCTCAAGTGGCATGTGCTGTCAAGTTGTTCCACTATTTAGTGACTAGAAATGAAGATAGATCCCTAGATGAAGGTGGTCTCATATGATTCTTCTACTGTACTATGAGTACTTTATCCTTGAGTTACAAAGAACTTTTTGGAGAGATACCTTGATACCGTGTAAATACCCAGATATTTGTCATTCTTTCACTTATTGGGCTTATCATTCATTGATGATTTTGACCTGATAAACCATTTGTCTCATTGAAGGTTACAAATTGATGATTTTCTTTCTTTCTTTCTTTCTTTCTTTCTTTCTTTCTTTCTTTCTTTCTTTCTTTCTTTTTTTTTTTTTTTTTTTTTTTAGTGGAACCGGGGATTGAACTCAGATCCTTGCGTTTGCCAGCCAAGTGCTTATCCTACTGAGCCATCTTCCCGGCCCATATTGATGATTTTCTAATTTTGGTTATTATGTTTACATTTATCCATTGGCATTCTTCTAAAAAAAAAAGAGTGTTTCTTTTTTTTTTCCCATAATTTTATTGAGAGACAAACAGCAATGAGACAGTTTCAAATCAAATTGGTATTTTTTTCCCATAATTTTATTGAGAGAAGAGTGTTTCTTATTAACTGATGTTAATATAGAAATACCCTTATACAGTTCCTACTGGGAAGGACAAATACTGAGTTATTTCACTTCGGTGACCCATTTTCAGTGTGTGTGTTCATGGTGATAAATGACTTGTTGCTGTTATTGGTTGGGATGCTTTTCTTTCCTATTTTTGTTTCTCTTTCTTCAGTGTCAGTACTTAGAATAATTTTAATTTTCATGTGTTTCAGTCAATTGCAGTCATTTTTCTTTTGGATGTTTAAATTATCCCAGCTTTGGCCAGTGGGAGTCCCTGATTGCTGTGTAATTTTGGAGTGACCTTTTTTGTCTTTGAAAGTGTACTTCGTTTCTGTGCAGCATAGTCTAGGCTTCCTTGCAGATTTCTTTCCACGTCCCTGAATTAGTACTTTCCCAAGGAACTCTTTTTTGGGGAGATGGTCCTTATGAATCAAATTTGGATGGTAGGTATGCTCATTGACATTAAGGTATCATTGTTTTTTGACTTTTTCAGTGGAAAGAAGTAGAAAATGTAGATAAGTATATGCATGCATGCCTTCATTTGTGTGTCTGTGTTTACATATAATGACTACATTGACAGTTTCTGTTTTATGACTTTAGTAAACTTTAAATTTTAGAATATTTTAATTATAAAAAGGTTACAGGCCAGTGAGATAGCTCAGTGATCTAAATGCCTGCTTGACAAGCGCAGGGACCTGGGCTCAGTCCCTGGCACCACGTGCCGTGCCGAGCTGGCCACCGAGACCAGGCGTAGTGGTGAATACTTGTAATCCTAATGCTGGGGAGGTGGCAACATGAGGATCACTGTGAATCTGAGCTGCATAGTGAGACCCTGTACCAAATAGCTACTAACAGCACAGAGGTTATGAACACATCTCAACTACTTTATGGTTAACACCATATATTACCATGCTCTCTGTCACAATTAAGACATCAAAGTTATATAAACAATTTTTAAAAATCAGACCTCCAAATTCAAAGACCTAATCCACACACTTTTCAGGTGAAGAAATACAAACAGCAAACAAATATATGACAAAATAGTCAACATTATTGGTCATTGGAGAAATACAAATTAAAACAACACAGAGATTCCATCTTAACCTGGAAAGAATGCCTATCATCAAGATACCATCCAATAAAAGTACTGGGGAGGCCATGGGGAAAAGAGAGCCCTTCTCCACTGTTGGTGGGATTGTAGACTGGTATAAACACTGTGGAAATCAGCATGGAGATTCTTCAAAAAGCTCTGATTAGAGGTCTCATTCAACTCAGCTATTCCCCTTCTGAGTATCTTCCCAGGAGAATTAAAAACATCATAGCACAGTGATATATTTGCACTCATGTTTATAGCAGCGTAGTTTGTCATCGCTAAATCTTAGAAACAACCCTAGTATCCATGAAAGGAGGAGTGGATAAAAAAGATGTGGTCTTTTATACAATGGAATATTCCTCAGCCGTAAAGAATGATAAATTTGAAACTTTAATACGTCAGTAGATACAACTTAAGACCATATTCATAAGTGAAAAAAATCAGTCTCACAAATGTAAACATCATACTGTCTCCCTGGTGTGAGAAACTGAAATAGTAAATAAGGCCTGGAATGTACAATAGATTGTGAAATAGGAAAAAATTTGTTCAAAAGGAAAAAGAGATCCTTTTGGAAAGGGGAAGGGTAGAAAGGGAAAAGGGAAAAGAATACATGGCAGTTACACTATTGGTGTGTCTTAGTCATTAAAAAGGAAAATTTCTGATAATATCAATTAGAAAAATTTTAATGACCACATCTTGTGCTCTCAATGATCACTTTAGGGATAACAATATGCAATGTATTAACTACTGTTATTCTCCTATTATTGTTATTAAATTATGCTTTACCTTTTTTCCATAAAATAAAAAATTTAAAAGATAAAAAGAAAAATATGTGAAAAGACAATGTTAGCTAATTACTGTTAATTAAACTCCCAACTTAATTTAGATTTTATCTTTTTCATGAGTGACCCCTTCAAAATATCATTACATTTAGTCTTTTTAGAAAAATTAATTAGTATTTTTTTAGTATAGGCTTACAGTACATAATGTTTACGTTCTTTGTGTGGAGTGGGCACATGTACCTAAAACAATTTTTTTAAATCTTTTTCTCCTCCCCTCTCTTCTCCTCTATGTTGACTCCCTTATCATTTGAGAATGACGTACTTTGCTTCTTATTGCCTTTTATTTTGCTTTTCATTTATAACTTGGGGTTCTTATGTAAGTGAAACCATGCAATATTTGGGCTTGTGTTTCTAATTCATTTCATTTAATGTTATGGTCCCTAGGCAGATCTGTATTTTTTTTAGTTTTCTCTAATCTATGATGGTTTTCTTCTCCTCCTCCTCCTCTTCCTCCTCCTCCTCCTTCTCTTCCTCCTCCTCCTGTTCCTCCCTCTCTTCTGGCTCCTCCTCCTCTCTTTTGTCTCCTCCTCCTCCTCCTTCTTGTTTTTTTGAGACAGGATCTTGCAGCATAGTTAAGGCAGGCCTTGACATCACTATGTAGCACAGGTTGACTTCAAGTTTTTTGCCTCAGCCTCCCAAGTAGTACTGAGATTACAGGTGTGTGCTACCATGCTTAGTGACTTTGATAATTTTGAGGGGTGATGGTTTGATATTTTGTGGAATGTCCCTCAATTTGGTTGAATTGATTTTTCTTTTATTGTAAGACTGAGGTAATGAATCTTCTTTGGCAAAGTATCACAGAAGTGAAGATCTTCGTTGTCACCTATCAGGGATACATGCTGCCATATTTTTTTGGGTTTCTTTATTATAAAGTTAATTTTTCCTCCCCTTAAATGTGCTATATTTTAAAAGCATTTAAATGTGTCACGTTTAAGTAAATTTATGGGCTGGGGATATAGCTTAGTGGCACAGCTCCTGCCTGACAGGCATTAGGTCCTGAGTTTGATTTTTGGTACAAAAAAAAAAAAAAAAAAAATTCTGTTCTCCTGTAAAGACAATATGTGTCTTCTTCCTCACTTATTTACTTATCATTTCTTTTGCTAGTATCAGCTGTTTGCTATTTATTTTATATCTTAAGTTATAATCTAATATTGTTAACTATTTTGTCCTCATAGTGTTGGAGTTATAGCAAATGTGGATTCATTTTCTTTCTTTTTTTTTGCAGAACCAGGGATTGAACTCAGGCCCTTGCGCTTGCCAGGCAAGCGCTTATTCTACTGAGCCATCTCCCTAGCCCCGTGGATTCATTTTCTTTGTGGCTCTTGTATTGCTTTGACATGTGCCATTCTTTTAATTTGTTTTTGAATACTTCCTTACTTTTTGGTGAGGTCTAGACTCAGCTGACATTTGACTTCCCTGAGTCCCAGAATCAGTCTTTTCTTAGGAAAAAGGAATGAGGAAACAGGATCTGGATTCTCAATATGCTTGTTATCCCTGGGAGGGATGGATGTATATTTTTTAAATGTATTTGGTACAGGTTCTCACTACACAGCTCAGACTAATAGTGATCCTTTTGCTTTCAACCTCCCCAGTGCTGGGATTCCAGGTATATGCCACCACACCCGGTCTTGGTGGCTGGCTCAGTGGGACTGTGTGTCAGGCAGGTGCTACATGTGGTGCTGGGGATTAAATGTGGGCCCTGCACTTGCCTAAACAGGTGCTTAGTCCACTGAGCTATCTCGCTGGCCATATATATATATAAATTTGTATTATGGTCTGGGATGTATATTGTTGCCATAACCTGTAAACCCACAAACTCATATCTAAACTCATATCTATATATCTGTTATCTATGTCTGTCTATATGTGCATTACGTCTACATCCCTACATGTATACAGCAGGACTCCCTAGCTGATGACTACGGAACAGTAATGTAGTACACAACAGGACATAAGCAGTAGGCAAGTGAGTGAA